CGATCGCTTAAACTTCTGAATATTAACTATGATAATAAACATATTTATTTGTTTCTCTCGTTAAATAATCTCAAATAAAGAAAATTCTAAAAAGTCATGAACAATATTGACTAATTATGTCATTGGTAATTTATTGTCGCGTTTTTTTTTTTTTGTCAAGGATATTATTATTTTTTAAAGATACTCTTACCAGAGAACGTTTCTAAGTGTCGCAATTTTCTTTTGAGCAAGCTCTAAATATCCTAAAAGAAGTTTGAACTAATAGCTTATTATTGTCGGCATACCATATTTTCACCATATTTTATCTCAAAATGTCTTGATGCCCCTCAGAAACACTAGAAAAAATGAGTTTCGAACTTCGACTTGAAATTTTGCACAAAGATAGGTCACGACAAGAAAAGCTTATGGTGAAAGTTTCAGACTTTTCAATTACACCTATTCAAAATAAGAACATCAGAATTTGCCATTGTATATGAGCAGCGTGAAAAACATGTTTTTATCATAGCCGTATCCTATGATAGAAGCAATTAGAAGATCTGACACTTTTGAAATACACTCTTCTCATTAAAATCTGTTTCTATGCAAAGTTTTAAGTCGAAGTTCGAAAATTAATTTTTTTAGTATTCAATAACGGGGACCAAGGTATTCTAATATAAAATATGGTAAAAATACAGTATCTTGGCAGTAATAAACTATTAGTCTGAACTCTTTTCAGGCTATGCATAGTTCATTAGAACCTACATGATACACACAATTTCGAGTCAAAAGCGATTTGACACTTAGAAACGTTTTCTCATCAGTATGTATCGAGTTAGTTGGTAGAAAAACTTGATTATTATATACTATTCGTTTTAACTTATGACTGTATAAAAAAATTTGTTCATTATATATTGATCAGGATTTATGACCTTTTGAAACAGGTTAGTATTCACGAGATGAACTTGCTGATCGTTATTAAATAAGCATGAACAGATATAAGAAAATGAATGTCTGCTATTTAGTTTTCTGTATATATGTTTATTTTATTTACTATGCACAATTCATCTATTTCTCATAGCATCTTTTGGTTGAGAGAATGTCTCCAATATATAAAGAAAATTTCTAGGAAGAAACACATCTATTCTGTTTGTCATCCATCATAAAAAATGCAAAGATAGATTTTGTGTCATTGAATTTGAAAGCTGACATATTTGTTCATATTAGTTTTCGGTCGTATACAATTTTTCATAAGGTATCCGATTTATCAATAAAAATTTTAACAATCCAAATCTCAGAAGAATCTTTTGTTGACACGATAAATTCCCAGCAAAATTATTCTATTCTAAATTTCTTATTGATTGAAATCCATAACCAATATTTTATTTGTATTATTGAACTATCAAGAATCTACTGTCTTATAAAAAAAATACTTAAACCGTTGACACATTCGTTTGTAAAAAGTGTAAATTTTTTTACAGCAAAAATTAAATTTTTGTGCTCGATCAGTACTTAAGACTTGATATTGGGTTACAGATCATGATAAATGCCTTCAAAATTAGTGTAAATTATTGGTAAAAAAGATTCAAACAAAAATAATCATATACTATTTTAAAGTTGAATCAAATACTCAACGCGGACGAAACAGATTAAAAACAACTTTCTCTATTTTTTCTATGTCTGATGTAGCCTACGATCCATCTAAGTTCAGTAAGTAGTTTTCTTACTATAGATTGTTCATTATATTTCACTTGAAATATCTACGATTGTAGATTATTTCAACAAACATTCGTTGATGATTTTTATGCACATATCCATAAATTGGACAACTTTAAACATTGTTCAAGTATCATTGCCCAGATTTAGGTTCCCGAATGTCCTTTTATTGGTTTTTTTGCTCATCAATACCTAAAAGCACTCGATCTCCTCCTCCAAGATCGGTTGAAACTTTTCTCCACCAAACAGGTCTGGTCAGCTTCAGCAAAATCTTTCAATCGGCCTCTTGATTCATCAACCTTACCCTCTTCCTCCCCTCCAATCCTTATTCGAATATTAATTTGGTCTGCTTTTCAACTTATATATTCTATAAGTCCTATAGTTTTGTTCTGTATGTCGATTGAATTCTCTGTTTTACCTATGTTTTCCTCAAAACTTACTAAAGTTTATCAACACTATTCCATATAAATTTTTACTCCTTAAACAAAATTTATACAAAATATAATTAAAGTTTTTAGTATCACAGATAGAATGGTAGGTATTGTTTTCAGTAGTCATTTTTTCACATTAGTCTACTTCTACCATTGAAAGGTACCTATTTAGTAAAGTGATTGATAGTATTTAAGCTCTAAGATAAATCGGCGATTTTATAAATTTATATAATTATTCTATATATAACTGCATACAGGTCACCAAAAAGGTATTTGAATAATTACAGTCGTCTTCGTATTTCTCGAGTTGCATGAGAAAAAAGAAGAGATAGAAAATCTTTTGTCATCAATAATTTTTTAATTTGTTCTCTACAAAAATCAAGAATCTAGACACTACCAATAAACATTCGAAAGCTTTCTCTTGAAACCAATGTGTTTTTCGAGTTATGAAAAACAAGACTCATTTCCTTTTGTGCATGAGTCGATGTATAATTTTTCACCCGAACAGCATATGCCGATGTGAAACAAAACGTCAAATGACTGATGTCGTACTCGAATCATTAAATATAGTAGATAAAAGAGTCAATGTTTCGAAAAATAATACTGTTGCTTTTATTACTCGTATTGATAATTTTTACAAAGAATATCCTGATTAGCTGCTAAATGTTCAAGATTTGCACTAATGAAGGCTAAAACTTATTTTTTCTTGTAGTTGCAAATATTAGAAAATATAAATTTCAACAAATCGATGTTTGGATACGTTTTGGCTATCTGCATATGTGTATCTAATAATACCGGGTGAGTCAAAAGTTTTGCAACATTTTTGTTTTGCATGTATCTTCTTTGAGGAATATGATAGAAGGCTGACTTTCTTTTCAAAAGATGCCCCATTTAATGCTCTATCAGAATTACAAAACCAAATGCATTAAGCTCTTTTTCAAATTTTACTAAATCGATAAAGGTGAAGATGTCTATTGTCGCACTTTGTCCCATTATACAAAATTCTGGAAACTTCAGAAATTACAGATTTGAAGTATTGACAGTTAAAGTTATCGTCCTCTATGGGATACGATATTAGAACAATAAACTTGTTAGTGGAAAAAAAAAATAGAAAACTTATCAAGTTGTTAATATTTGATCAATAATATGTGGTTATTTCTGATTTGACACCTTGTCCCAGAGATGTCCATGGCGGTGCCATCGCGTCCGCACCGCTATCGCCACGGCGGTAGAGGTGTGGAGGCGGTAGACTTTTTGCAAAATCATCGCGGTGCGATGGCGGCGCGGAGAGATTTTTTAAATACCGTCGCGGCAGCGGTGCGGTCGCGGTCGATTTCTGAGGAAGAAATTTTTAAAACTCACGAATTTTCAAGGAATCTCAGTATTCATATCCGCTATGTGGCAAGACTCAACAAATTTGACCGACTACTAGGAGCTATTCCTGTTCGGACAAATCATAAGGTCCAAAGTCAACAAATTTCTTGATCATCGCCGCGGAAGCTGTGTGGGTAGCTTGTTGTCGGAGTTCGTTGTGGTGCGGTAGGTTTTTTGGAAAACCGTCGCGGTGAACTTTCGACCGCGATGAACATCTCTGCCTTGCCCTCATTTTAAGTTGAACACATTATCTTTTGATACTGTTTTGTGCAACATTCTTTTTGGCTCATGTCTTTTATTTTTATATTTTTTGCAACTTTAGCTTTAGTATAGCCTAGAAGTGTATGAACTAGGTACCAGTGCAAGAAGGTCACTGCTTTTTTTAAGCGGGGTGGATGGGTGTGGACGTGGGTGTCGGTGAGGGTGTGGAGTATGGGTGGGTATGCGTGTGGTGTTGACTTTTCTTTGTTCCCATGCACACCCACACCCAAACAGTCAATGATTGAAAATTCTACTGATGAAATAAAAATAAAGGAAATTTCATTATTACTGCATTTTCTTTACATATATAGCAAAATACTTCTTGTAATTACTTTAATATTCAAATAAAACTGATGTATCACAACAATACTAAGCAAAATATAAATCAATGATTATTATACGTAAATTCTACTTGAGTACACAACAATTACAAGTAACTACCCGTGAAAAACTCTTTTCATTTTACGAGTAGAGTACTGAATTATCGTGCATAGATGGTTAGATTCCAGCATGAGTATTACGTGTGAACACTTAAGAACTCTGATGAGGTTTTCTGTCACAAATACTTAATGAATACACACCTATTCAGTATTGCTACAAGAGATGTCAATTAGATCCATTCGTGTACCGACTGTTGTCAATCTGTTAAAAAAATTCTCAAGTGAATCTAATGTAGGTTTGATTATTATATTGTTCTATAAAAAAATCCTTGTATGATGTTAAAAATGTATTCTTGATAGTTATATTAGAAAAAATACCCATAAACAGAAGCTCATATTTTCGCGTGATATTTGTCAACTTTGTTATGAAGTGACATCTATCGTCGAAGAAATTGAGTAGCAAATTTTCTATGATTATATTCATTATTGTACATTCAAATCTATCATATTCGAATGCAATCAATAAATGTTTAATACTGATTTACGGAGGATTTTTTCTACCGTTAATAATTTGTCAATCATAGTTCCAATCAATTGTACATGAAAGAACAATCAAGTAGAAACAATTGACTTTTTATTTTATCTGTTCTTAGACATTTTATATCACGTGCACTGAGCTGATTGTTTTTTGATTTAAACACACTGGTATTTTTCAATCATATTTTGTAAAAATGAATATTCAATTTTATAATTAATGAATTATTTTTTTTGTAGATTCTATGTATTATTAGCAAATTATATCAAAAGCTAAATCATTCCGACTCCAAGATCGTCATTATCGGCTTCGGCCGTTTCAAATAAAATGAATCTTGATGCAGTGTCAACAGCACTTGCTCAAATTTCATTTACAATCAAAAGTTTATCAAGGAAAAACTTCAAAAGTTCACTTGCCGAAATAGCTGATGTATATTTCATTAAAAATACCCTTTTTTTTTCGATTGTAACATAATTTTCTTTTTCATTTGTATATTTCCAGCTCGTATCAGAACATGGATTTGAAGCTGAACGACATTTATATCGAACTTTAATATCATATCTTGATTTACAATCAATTGAACAAAATGGTTCATTAATAAAACGTTCAGAAAATATTCATTTAAATTATTGGTTACAAGAAATTCCATCCTTAATATCTAGACCGAATTTTGTAACTTTAATTTGTTATGCTTTTGATACAGCTATAACGCAAAAAGTAGATAAATAAAAATTTGATAATTATATTAAAACAATTCAAACGTTTTTTGTTTATAGTCACTTAAACTTCCATCATCTTCAAATGAATTTTTAACATCATTATGTAAATTATTTAAATTGAATCGTGCACAAGAACTTGTTTTTGTTTTTGCTTTACAAAACTCGACACATGCTGAACTTCAATTATTAGCACACGAACATATACAACAACGTTTACCGGAATTTATTCGAATTGCGTCCGATGGTATGTTTGAAAAGAATGAATGGACAATGAAAGAAAGGCAAAATAAAGATTTTGAAAAACAGAATGAGAAAAAAAATTTAAGGTGTTGGTTAGAATTAGTGGTAAGTGGAACCAATTGGTTTTGGTCCCGATCCCGATTGGCAAAATTTTCGGATCGAGTTTCGCGATTATGTAATACATGTACTAGTAAAAAAAGCGATATCATCTTCGAATAAAGCCAATGAGATTGAGACGTCTTGAATGACCTCGTAATATCCTCTCTGTTGAAGGTTCATTACTATTTTTAATTCACTAATACCTGATTAAGAGTGTATGCGAATGTTTTCACTAACTCTGTTATATTCGAAAAAAAAGGATTAAGTCGACAGTCAGAATTCTAACAGTTAATACTGATGTGACCGTTACTCAATAGTATTCACATCAACTTTTAGAACACATGAACCAGGAGAATATGATACTTGACGCAATTTTTACATGATCGCCAAAGATACCATTCCCAATGCAAAAGTAGTGAAATCGGAATCATCTTGCCCATATCTAGTTAGAACCGTAAGAAGTCAAATTTTTTCGACTCCGAAAACTTTTTTGTCATTGTCATCAATACTGGCTCCAACAATTGAACACAGATTGACTTTTGATGTTTATTCCATATTGGTAACTCTCATGAAGAATTCGAATAGTGACTTGAAAAGAGAAAATTGTTTCCAACAAGGATTTAACTAAAATAGGGAGCTTCTTTCCATTACAAGTAGTGACAGAGCAACTCATTTTCTATAAAATGACCTGTCGCCGAGCTCTTTACAAGATTTGTTGACTGAGTTATATAACTTTTAAGAGAAGTCGAAGAAGGCTTTGTTGTCCAGTTTTTCAGAAAATAGTGAAAGAACTATTTTTGGCGTTGCTTAATATCGATGTGAGCCTATCAAAAATGTCGTGAAGAGCTTGGAGATATTACATCTTACAGAGAACCAATTGCTCTGCGTAACTGATAGAAACTTTTTTTGTTGCTATCGTATACTAAAAACAAGGCTCGAGATTTTCTTCAAATCTTTGTCGGAAACAAATTTTTCTATTCAAACCACATTTTCGATTCTTTAGGTGAGTTACCATTATGAAAAAGTTTCGAACTTAAATCTGTATGATCAATTTTTGGAACTACTGTATACTTCTTACTCTCCTGTTTATTAATGAGAATTTCTCTCTAATTTCTTTTTTCTTGAAACTTATTTAATATATGAAGCAAATACTTGTTACTATGTAAGAGTAAAAATACATGACGGTTTTACTGATATAACTCCGACATTGAATCGGGATTCAGAACCTGATGCAGAACACTAATGTAGAATTGAAAGAAGACTGACACCCACGCCCACATCCTCGTTATTTAATAAATCTTTTTTTTACCAATGCTATAGATTATTCGAGATTTTTCCTTTCTTTGTTTGCCCGTTATATATTTAAAAAAGATGGCCTCGTCATTATTCAATTCTATTTTTTCAATTTTTTTTTTCAAAAGATAATGGTATGAATGAAACAGGTTTAATTGATACATCCATTGAAGTACTTCATTCACTTTTACTACTCATTCGGCAATACATATCAAATGATTCAATAGGACCATTGATTAAAAATGAAGAATGTGAGAAATTTCTTAACGTTCTACGAAAAGGTTAAATAATTATTGAAATCAAATTCATTAAATCAAATTTGTTGTATTTATATTTTAGAATATCCACGAGAACGAATAGGAAATAATGGTTCCGTAATACTTTTACCTTTACTTTATTCATCTAACAGTTTATCAACAGATCTTACTTCAAATCAATTATTATCAGATTCAAGTAATCTTCCAACAACTGTGGTATGAAAATAAAAATAAACAAAAAAAAAATTCTTTTGAATAAAATTCTCTATTCACTACTTTTATTTTATTTTCATTTCAGTGGCAAATGGATGGTTCTCTAGCTGATGTTATTCTTGAAATGGGTTATAATTTTACAGCATGTGTTGAAGATTGTCGAAATGCACTTATTCATTTTGGTTTACAAGAATTAAAACCATCAACAATTGCTCGCATGCTTTCCGTTATGATTAAAACTCATTCTGGTCTTAATGAAAATACACATATTTATGTAAATATCAATTCTGAAAGAATAGTTCTTTTTTTTTTTAATCCAACAAAAATATGTTTAGAATTGCAATGGTACTGATATACCAATAAATAATGAAAACAATCCTGTGCAAACATGGAATGTTGACACATTTGTTCTTGCTATTAATGATTTAGTATGAGAAAAAACGATGTTTGATTTCCTTTTGTTTAATAAAAAAAATCATGTTAATAGGTCCCAACAGTTAATTGGAAAGATGTTGTAAAAGAACTTGATCATCCCGGTTTTATTGTACGTGATCGACAAGCTTTAGTACTTCTTGTTACTGCACTTCGTCGAGCTTTACCAGTTGAACTTTATATTGATCTACTCTACGGACGTTGGAATAATGTCGAAGGACAAGTAAGAGAAAAAAAAGAAAATAATGAAAAAAACAATTTCGATTTATTTAACTTTAGTTATCATGGTTAGCTCATGCTATTCGTTATCCAGATGTTTTTTGTTTCGGTGATCATCCAGCACATCCTGTTTTAATTGATTGTCTCAAACATCCACTCGATGATACAAAAGAAACATGGACTTGGTATTAGAAAAAAAAAAAGAAAAATAATAAGTTTTTTTTTTTATAATTGTTTTTTTTTTATAGGCGTTCACTAAATTTAATTGAATGTTTATTACGTATTGCTGATACAGGTCTCTATTCTACTGTATTGGAAATATTTAGACATGGAATACAACGGTCAGGTGAATTGATTTTTCTTGGATTGTTACAACTTCATGTAAGTTATGAAATCATTGAATGTTATTTCATCATTACACATAAAGAAAATTTTCATTGATCAGATTTCTTTAAAAAGCAATAGAATATTATATCCACAGATTTATTAATAGTAATTAACACTTCTTTAGAAATATCTTAGGAATTTTGTTTAAATTTATCAGAAGACTGAAAGTTTGAATTTTTTACATTTCCGACAACAAAAAATAACAGTGAGTTAGTCGTAGAAAAAACGGAAAGGAGAAGATGTTGAAACTTGAAATGAGATGCGGGTGTCGACCCATTTGTTTTCTTCACCTATACCCTCTATGTTGCAATATTAGTATTATATCAAACATGAAGAATGTCTTGTGAGTTGAAATTTTTGATATTGTTTCTTTCGATCTTTCTACAGCACACCAGAAAAAAGACACTAAATCATTGTGATGATTGGAAAGACTCATGAACAGTTCGATATTATCAGTTAATACCTACGAAGATCATTCCGATCGTCAGAAACCGTGTCTTCAATGGACAGAAAGGGTGTGAGTGAGTAAGTGAGCGTTGATCTTCTCTTCGGCTACATTCACACTCACTCAAATCTTTCCAGGAACACTGTTCACAAACTGCTGGAAAAAATCGAAATTTGTATGAATAATAATGGAAACCATTTTGAAAATTGAATAAAATAAAACTAAAAATATCTTTTGTGATTTCATAATTTTATTTATTCTTCTTAGAACTTTTGGTTAGTCCTCTGTATGTTAGAGTATTGCTGATAACTTCAGTCATTGAAATATAAATTGTTGAATTTCGACGAAATTCATACAGACCTGTTATTCACTGGCATTCGATTACTAGTTTTTGAAAACATAAGATTGCGTACAGGATTCACTGTTTTCAAAAATATAGAATTTTTTATGTATTGATGTTGATGAAATTCTCAATTTAAATAGCTTTTGTCGTTTAATACTGTTTCTCTACAGTAATACTTACAATAATGTAGAACTGACAGACGCTCAAATAGGATGATTGTTCTTGCTCATATCAATATGAGTGGTTGTTCGAAACATTGTTGTTCAGACGAATAATAAAAATACCTCGAATGACTCGTCAGTATATCAAGAGANTGTACTCTGATGACGAAGTGATAACGACTGTTGAGGAGCACTTAAATAATCTTGGTTCAGGGTTTTTTTTTCGATGGAATACAAAGTTTGTATAACCGATGGCAACGTGTGGTTGCTAGCGAAGGTTATTACATTCAATAAATGCAGTAATTGTTAACTTATTGCTTCATAAAATTTGAGTTCTACGAACTTTCCGGACACGATGATATCATCATTATATCGTTCATTAAGATGATCCATAAGACGCTGAACTGCAATTTTCTTCATAACTTTGTTCTTGTACTTAAACCTGCACTAAATTGAACACGTACATGATGAAAATGTATGTCTTTCGCTTGAAAAAACTTTGAAACGATTAAATATTTTGATGATTAACTTGTATGCTGGCGATCAAGACGACATTTGAAATGCTAAAAATAACATGCGATCGAGTGAAAAATGTTCATCTTGTGCGTTATTACTAGTTTTTATATCTAGAGCAGAGTTACTAACAAGCCACTTTGTTCTGATTTAGTCTGGTTCGGCTCAGAATGTCTCGCGACCAGACCATGTAGATTGAAATTTCTGATTTTTCAAATTCATTTATTTCTATAAATCTGCATCAATGTATCATTCTTGTTTCAGTATTTTACTTCATTTATTTCCATGAACATAAGATAATAACAAATTCTTGTACGAAATAGAAAATTAAAACAAACATGCAATCATCATAAATATTTTTCATACAAACAAAAAGCTTTCGAATTAACGCAATGTTTTTTTTTATTTATTATATTAGTTCTGTTTTGTGTAATCGAAAAAATGTGATCATGAAAGTAAAAACAACAAATAATCAGACTTGTAATGAAGAGATCAAAGAAAGTGTACAATGAAAATCTAGACTATAAGTCATAATAACGGGCAAGGACATTTTAATTTAACAATTAATTTTCGCAAAGGCATGAACGTAAAATTCACTGTTCAATTATTGTAGGTCTAAACAAGTTCTTCTATCAATCAAAGTAAAGTCCAACAACACTAAATTGACATTTGATTCAAACATTTGTTGCTGGAATTAAATGAATTCGTCACAGTACTCTCGAATAATAAGGCAAAATATTTGTAATCTAATCGTAATAAATTCTTATTTCCCTCCTTTTGTCTTTTTGATATAGTTTAATTTAATTTTTTCCAACATTTCTTCTTTAATATGTTTTTTTTTGCTGTTTCAACGATTAATTAAAGAATCATTATTTTATCAGATTGTCGTCATTATCAAGTTAATGATGATAATCTAAATTGAACTAAACTTAATTTTGATGAAATTAAATGTATCGAATGAATTCAAATTTTTACTCTTGAGTATTATTATAAATATTGTCATTATTTTTATTTTGATCTTAACATTATTTTCTTAATTAATATTCGTTCACTATTTGCAATCATCTATTCAGCTATACATTCTTGTGTTATATCAAATAACAATCAGACTTCTACGAAGTCAGGAATTGCAAATAATTATATGGCTTATAATAATGATGCAATAGAATATCATACGTATTATATTCTCGAATAGAGTTTGAATTATATTTTTAAAATAAGTTCTTCATATAGATTATTAACATCTTCTGTAAATGAAACATTCGATATAAAATTGAGCGAAACAAAACAACGATTTTATGATATAAAACGAGATCCACATATTGAAATAATTAATTTCGAAGCAGTTATTGAAAGACGACCAACAGAAATCGATGAAACATCATTACGTGTTCTCAAATATAAATCACCATCTTTTATGTAAAAACTAATCAATTATATTGAAATTATATCATATATATATATATATCTAGAGCAACAGTTAATTTTCGTTTTCCGCCGATTCATACGAATGAATGTTGGAAAGTAGGCTTTATCCAAGCATGTTCGTATTTTATATGTATAGTTTTTCTTCTAATCTTATTTATATTTCAAAAAGGTGATTTTATGTTATTTCAAAATCAATATGGTGATCTTGGCTAGTAAGTAAGTCGTTCTATGTTTTTAATAATAAAAAAATTTTCAAAATTATTGTTTCTTTTTCATAGTTCGTCTTGGGAAGTATATGAAAAAAAATTAATAAAATATTTCTGTAAAAATGTAGGTTTTTTTTTTTTTTATTAAACAAATCAATAGTTTCCACAATTGATGGTTCGTGACGCATCAATGATTAATGATAGTTGTGGACGAAATTTTCCATGGTATGGATCAAAAAATCAAGGTAAAACAATGGGAAATAAATATTGAGTCAATAAAATAGATGAAATCATTAGAAAATTTCTTATATGATTAGTTGATAACGTTTTACATTTATTCATAGACTTAAAGATCAGTCAATAAAATTCAATAATAGTCAATTAAACGAAAGATTAAGTATAAAAATTGAAATATATTTTAGTGTGATTCACTTTTTTTCTTATTTCCTTTGTTCTCTGGTACTACGCACTACACATGTCATGGACAACATACACAAGGATGTCTCAAGCAGGTGACCCCCAACGAAACTGAATGAGTTTCTCCGTCTGTCTTTTTGCTCACTAATGTCCACAACTATCATTAATCATTGATGCGTCACGAACCATCAATTGTGGAAACTATTGATTTGTTTAATAAANTAGCAGAATTTTCTTATTTCAGATGCGAAAACGACATTTTCAATATTCTTTTTTTTAATTTTGTCGTCATTTCGACTCTTGTCATCTATTTCATTTGTTTTTGTAAGTTATTCATCTTTATTATTATATTGATTAATTGTATTTTTTATGATCATAGTTTATAATGATTATTGAATATTAATTAATATAAAATGTCTTACGAGTCGACAAAAACTAGTACAAATTCAGGTGGTGGTGGTGGTGGTGAAACAATGACAAGTGATATGTCATCACAATCAGCAGCAAATAATTTTTATCAAAATAATAATAATAATAGAACACAAGCTATGATAATGAATCCCATGATGGGTACTGGCAATTATTTTAATGGACCACCACAAGGTACACCTCAACAAACTCAAATGCCATATCGTCCTATGTATCAACCATATGCATCAGCACCTCCTCATCATCCTCAACATCATCAAATCGTAAGTATTTGTTTTTGTCAATAATTTCTAAACAAAAAAAAAATGATTTAATAATGAGAGAATCTATATATAAAAAACATTATTCAGTTATCACCATTTGATACATATGAATCCCGTACAAGTGGTTATTATTCACCATATACTCATGATACTGGTGTTTATGAACATCAGCAACTATCATCAATAGGAAGAATTTATTATGGAAATTACGGCGAAAATCAAGTTGAGGTAGTGCACCTTTGTGTGTCAATATATATATTTATACATATATATATATGTCTTTCGTCTAACCACTATGTTTATTCCTTATTTCCCTTTGCACGTGTGATAAATAGTAAAATATTGTTGTCGTAGGAATTTGACAAATAAAAACCAGAATTCATTTTGAAGTTTGTTTTCTTTTTGTTTTTTAGTCATCACCATATCCTTCAAAAGATGGTTGTTTGCCATCATCAACAAATAATAATACAGATCTGGTATGTAGTATTTTGTTATGAAATAGATAAATTTACATTTGTGTACGATAGTTTGTTATGTTTTCTTTTTTGCATTAAGTGACACAACAGACTACCGTAATCATAGTGTAATAGAAAGGTAAAAATGACAAGTGTAATTTAACAACTTACCTTTCCTATTATAAACGTCAAATATAAATTCTATATGAATGCTAAACAACTAAGTATATAAAAAAAAAGCTACAGAGAGTGAGAGTGAGAGTGAGAGAAAAGACATGCAATGATCATTATCAAATAACCTTGATTTGTTTTTTCTTTTCATCATGATCATCTGTCTTATATGTTATTTTTTATTTTCTACCGGGTATGTTTTTGTTGTTGTTGGCATGTCAAGAGACACCAATTTCCCTCTTTTTTCTCTTTCATATGAAACAGCTGATCTCATCGACGACCACATACATTGAGTGTTCTTTAATTGGACATTTACAAATGAGAGTGGGGCGGGGTGAGAAACGAAAGAGAAGATTGCCAAAAGAGAGAGAGAGAGAGAGACGAAGAAAGAGAGATACGGTTGATTTGTATGAATGAATGAAGAAGGAGTGGGTGTGTGTGTGTGCGTAAAGAGATTTTCATTCATCACCATCTGATCGACATACAACGTCGTGCGTTCGGCTGACAAGTTTACTTTTTCTATTACTTGTCAAAAATTACTTGTCCGGAAATATGCCTATGATTTGAAGGAGTAGTAAAAAAAATGTATGAAGACATGCCATCTGTCTTTGTCACAAAGAAAAACAATTAATTGAATCACCATTTATATAAATAGACAACTAACTTCTAATTTTCATTGATTGTTCTTTCAGAATGCAACTGATTCAACAACAACACCAAATGATCAACCACAACAAGGTGGTAATATGCCGATGGCAACAGCACAAACACCACCAGGTAAAAAGCTTCATTACAAACAGTTTTTTTTTTTGTTTGGTTTATGGGCTATAAAAAAACGAATTTAATTGTTGTCATTATTTCTTTCCCTATTATTATTGTATTCCATCTTTGAGAACAAGAATGTATAATATCAAACTAAATTCAACGCGTGTTGCTCTCGTTCTTTTTTTTTTGTATACCCTACAATTTCTGTTCCTTTTTGTGTGTGTGCGCTCGCACTCTGTCGCACTCGATTCTAATATTGCTTGAAGGCTCCTTTTTTTTTTTAGTGTATGCGCATGTCTTTGTATTTCTAAGCTAAATCGTTATGATTTTTGTTCTAGGGAATAGTAGCTATAACAATTCCTCCATGATGCCACCGCCTCATCCAGCATCAAAGCAGCAGCAACAACCATATGCCAACTATTCACAACAACAAGGTTTGTTATTAGAAAAAAAACGAGAAAAGAAAGAACGACGGTTTTTCAAAAGTAGTCTCTTTCTTCATCTTTATTCTTTTGCTTCTATTCATTTGCCCTGTTTCTGCCTTCATCATCGTCGTTATTGTCGTCGACGTCGTCGTCGAGCAAATGCATTGCAAAGAACATGGTCGTTTTTTTTTCTTTTTTTTTTGCACGTTCTACTTTTCCTTCTTACCCATCTATTCATCGACGACGACGACGACGACGGACAAGCACAGGCAGGCTGACTGCTTGCTTGATTATTTTCCTGTTCCCTTCTCTTCGTGCATGCGAACGAACGAACGAGCGAGCGAGCGAGCAAGCAAATGCGCGCTCGTCCTATAGCCCCGGAGAATGAAACAACAAGCAGCAGAAGCATCAGCAGTACGAGATGTTATGTGTATGTGTGTGTGTGCCTGTCATTTACCGCCATCGCTTTGCACACTCACATATATTGAGAATAGAATAGTGGCGACGACGACCACTACTACTACATAAAGAAGTTTCATTCTTTTCTTTTCTCTCTCTCTCTCCTCTTTCTCTGTGCTTTCGTTCGTTTACTGCACTGCTGATGTTGTACTCGCTGTACGAGCATCTCATTGATGATTATTAAATGCAAGAAAAAAAAAAAAGAAGAGCGCCACATGCTTTGTTAGTTTTATTGTATTTTATTTCGTATTATAGGCGACATGTATACTAGAACCTCAAATAGTGGTAGTGCACCTCAATATATTCCTCAATATTCACAGTATCCACCCGGAGGTGCAGCTATGATGAACCCACGGTCACCAGCACCTAATACAAATGCATATCGACCACCATATTCATCTGGATCACCATATCAAAATGGTATAGCATCATCATCACCATCAACAACATCAGGAAAACCTACATCTCGTCCACAACAAGTTTCACCTAAACGCTCAAATTCACAACCAACAACACCACCACAACAACCACGTTATCAAACACCATATCCATCTTATTCAAATGGACCAGTTGCTTATAAACCAGGTGGTTCTAATGGTTATGGACCACCACCTCCACAACCGCAACAACAACAGCAATCATCATGGCCTCCACCACCAGTACAACGTGATGTGGTTACACCAGGTTTAGCTAGTAGTACGGGTGATTCTGATTCAAATTCAAGTAATGCATCACAACAACCGGTATCATATCCATCTTCAACAATGACAAATGGTCCAACAACGACAGGTTATCCACAACCACCCTCATCTTCATATAGTACTGGTAGTAATGTTAATGATTCAACAAATAATACTATGAATTCAAGTGGACATCCCTATATGGATCAACAATATTCTAATATACCTCCACCAAATTACGGCTATCCTCCACAACAAATGAGTAAATTAATTTGAAATTAATCTTAATAAATAACTAAATATATATGTATAAATTTTTTTCTTTCAAATAGATCCATATGTTAATCATCCACCACAAATGCATGGTCCGCCAACAAATGAATTTCGTCCTCCGCCTATACAATCAATGGATGATGATACTAATACTTATCGTAATAAACCATCATTAGGAATGATGATTGATCAACAGCAACAACAATCACATCATCCGCCTCTACTTCCTTCATCATCATCATCCCAAGCACAATCTCTATCATCATCAACGAATGGGCCAAAGTCACCTAGTGGTACAAGCATGTCATCATATGTTCCTGATGATGCTGATTCAAGTAATTCAAGTTTTCCGGATAGTCCACCACCATCACAAGAAAAAGGTCAATCAAAACGCAAACTTTCATCAGCAACATCCAATGCACACAGTACACCACCTGAAGTATTTACTAAATTACGTGATATGGGTGATGAATCTGAACGACAAGAACGTCATTTATTTGTTGATCGTTTACAAAAATTATGGGAAGAGCATCAAATCGTTTGTCGTAATTTACCAAGTATATCAAAACAAACAATTGATTTATATCGTTTATATACATGTGTACGTGAACAAAATGGTTTTCAAGAATTTTCAAAAGTAGCTAAAAATCGTCATTGGCGTGAAATAGCATCGAAATTAAACATTCCGAATTCATCAAGTGCAGCATTTAATGTTAAACAAAAATATATTAATTTAAAATTGTTTCATTATGAATGTAAATTTGATCGAGGTGGTATTAATCCTGAACCAATATTAGCTGAAATTGAAAAACAACAAGGAAAACGTTCAAAAACACCAAAGAAAACAGCAAATAATAGTGGAACAACAAATAATACTAATGATAATACTAATGATGGGAAATTAGTACCTCCACAAGTACCATCTCAATCTCAA